TGGCCAGAGCATAGGTCTGGGTCCCAGGTGCCGGAGGAAAACCGGTGCTGGAAGCCAAGGGAGGGAAGGCCTATTGGACGAAATTCTTTGTGCAACTGGCCTCTAGTTTATATTATAATTGTATGTATACTATATTTTTTTAATTTTAATTGATCTTAGAGAGAGGAAGGGTGAAAGAGATACATTGATGTGAGAGAGAAACATCAATCAGTAGCCTACTGCACATACCCAAACTGGGAATCAAACTGGCAACCTTTGTATTTGCCCTGACTGAGAATCTATCCTGCCAGCTTTTTGAATAAAGGATGATGCTCCAACTAACTGAGCCACAGTGGCCAGGATTGCATTAATATATTTTTAGGATGATTTCCCCCCAAAATTTATTCATTTCAAAAACATAAAAGACCAAAAATAACTTATTGTTAATCGATATTATTTTTAGACTCTTTCATTTGGAAGAAATATTTATTAATGTGCCTTTTAATTATTCAAAGGTCAACATGACTTTTTTTTTTTTTTACAATTTAAATGTATTTAAAATATTTTTGTCTTTAATTTTGAATGCAGAGTACAATTAGAGATATGATGATCAGTAAGCTTTTGCATTGAACATGAAAGCAGTGTTTAAAAATATTATCTAAATGTTTATAATCCCAATGTGATTTCAAAGTAAAAGCTTTAATTAAAATGAGTCAGAAAAAAGAGAATGTAAACATGATACCACTACTGAAAAACTCTAAATGTCCAGATGGGTTAATTACTCAAACAAAAGCTTTTTGATATTTCCATTGTAATATTTATTTACCTTTAATATACATTCATCACCTAAACATTTATTATTTCTACATCTCTTGTCTTGTATATTATTTCTCTAAATTATTCTCTGTATTGAAGGGCGTGATATATCTGATATAGCTTAAAATTGAATATGTGACTTCAAAATATATGAGAGCATTTACAATTTAAACTAAAATAGTAATAAAACATAATAAATAACATTTTATAAAATGGAAATATTACAAACATTGGTGCTATGATTAAATGAAAAGGATGCTTCTAGATATGAAGCATTAGATATTGTTTTAGATTATATGATCAGGTAAAGAAAGCCTTTCTAAATAGGCAAAATTTGAGCAGAGAACTGAAAGATGAGAAAAAATATTCAAACAGTCTAAAGAAGAGACTTCTAAATCAACAAGTCTTTAAATGAAGAGCCTGAGGGAGAAAACCCAGTCTGAAAATATACAACTGGAACTCTTTGAACAAAAAAGAGCAATGTAAGTTGAAGTTGGAGAGGTAGATGAGTGCAAGATTCAGAATCTGTAGTAATGACTTTCAATGTCACTCTGTGAAATTAGAAGTCCTTTTATGATTTTAATCTGAGGTGTTATATTATCTAATTTAGGATTTCAAAATTTTAATTTAACTGTTGCATATTATCAGACTGGGGAATGGCTAGAACTGGTTATACAAAGGTAGAAGTTATATATTATAATTAACGATACTGTATTATATACCTGAAAGTTATAAAGAGAGTAGATCTTACATGTTCTCACTACACACACAGAAATGATAATTATGTGGTTATGTGAGATGATGGATGTATTGACTAACCTTATTGTAGTATTACTTTGCAATTTATATAGGTATCAAATCATCATGTTAATACTTTAAACTTATACAGTTTAATATTATAAATTATCCTATATAATAATGAGCTAATATACAAATGGTCATCATGCCCTCACGCCAGGGCCAAGGGACCTAAGGCCACGCCCCCCGCCTCCCACCACAGCGCTGGGGCCAGGGGACCTGAGGCCAAACTGGGGGACCTGAGCTTGTGTCCCCAACCCAGTGGGACTTGATGGGGGACCTGAGGCTGTGCCCCTTGCACTGTGGGGCTTGTCAGGGGTGGGGCCAGCTGGGCCTGGGTCTCTTGCAATTTCAAGGAGTGGGTAGGAATTGACTCTGGTTTCTGCAGCACACTCCGGACTCTGATAGGAGGGAGATTTTCATATACATACAGTTTCTAGTTTTCTTTCATCTCTGACACTTCTGTTATAGAGAAAGGGCAAATAGCAATATTAAAATATTTTCTCTAATTTAATTACCTTTTAATGTGCTTAAATGTTGTGCACTGGGCCAGTAGTATCTTAATAAAGCTTGTGGGATGGGGGTGGTGTAATTAGAAGCAGTAATCAATGGGACTTGAATAATACAATCAGATGTCTAACCAAGATTGTTAATATTGAAGCCAACGTTGAAAAATTAGCATAGTTTAAACGATTTGGAAATAAGTATATTTTCATACTTATTATTTTTACATTATGTGAAAACATAATGTTGGCAATTGTGTATAACAAATAGTTGCACTCTTTTAGCATTCTTTAGATCAACTCTTTTTATTTTATTTTTAAAATATATTTTTATTGATTTTAGAGAGGAAGGGGGAGGTAGAGAGAGATAGAAACATCAGTGATGAAAGAAAATCATGGATTGGCTGCCTCCTGCTCAAGACTACAACCCAGGCATGTGCTCTGACCAGGAATGGAATTGTTATCTCCTGGCTCATAGGTCAAAATTCAACCACGGAGTCAACCCAGCCAGGCAAAGCAACTGTTTTCAGATAATCAAATATTATTATTTTTTAAATGACTTCATCATTTGTGCATAAATTAGTTCATTTTTTATTGTGCAAAATATTGTCTTCCAATAAACTCTTCCATAAAAGTTTATAATGTTTAATTATTAAATAGTTAAAATATATTTTCAAATTCCTTGGCACATAATAAATCAACTTAATCAGGTAAAGAGTCATTAGCATGTGGCTTTTCACAGTGGTTGAGTTGATGTTGAAAAATAACTCAAATTATTTTTTTTTTGTAGGTGACTTAGTTTCTTCCTAGACCTGTGTAGGTTTTCTTTTTTTTGACCCTTGAAGTTTAGTAACTTCACAAAGAGAAATCTTAATGTACTCTTACATATTAAAAATTTATTGTCAATGAGCTGTTTTCTTTGGTAGGCCAGAGAAGAGTTTTGCTGTAGTTCAAACTTGACTAAACTGAATAATGGCAGCTATTTAAATAAGTAATACAAGTGTTTTGTATGAATGCTAGACATTTTTACCAGCAGGAAAAGAACACTTCTAATTGTACATATTTCTAATTTAAAAATTAAATTTATAAATAAGTATAAAACAAAATATTTCACAACCTATTAAAAGTAAACAATAACATTGTTCAAATTACTCTATGAGTAAATACAGTTCAAATGAGTGAGCAAAGCATTGAGCCCTTAAGAAGTTAAAAGTGATTGTGTGTGTAACTATTCAAATGATTTTTGATGGTGGTTTTATAATATGTTGCATTTTTTTCAATTTAAAATAAATATGCATTTTATTTTCTAACTAGAGGCCCAGTGTACAAATTCATACATTTTGGGGATCCCTCAGCCTGGCAGGTGATCAAGGCTGATCAGGGCCAGGGGAGGATGGCCAGTGTGGGGAGGGGCCATGGGAAGTTGTCTAGCCCAGGGGAGGGGCCACAGCCAGCAGGGAAGAGGGGCTGTGAAAGGTTGGCTATAGGAACACACTGACCACAGGGAGCAGCTCCTGAATTGACCATCTGCCCCCTGGTGGTCAGTGTGTGTCATAGCAGCTGGAGCTGGTCAACTGGTTGTTTCATCGTTCCGTCATTGGGCTGCTTAGGCATACACACACACACACACACACACACACACACACACACACACTTTAGAAACAATAAAGCTCATGTTCAGGAATATCACAAAATTGTCTTTGAGATAGTACAGTTATTTATACTTTTTGGCAACAGTTTGCCTGTTCAAATAAGTTTTGTGACTTCTATGAAGTTAAGCACCGGCTCACAAATGCTAAATCATAGTCATAAAAATTAAGCAATTAGTCAAAAAGAAACGAAATAAACTAGTGCTTTCCAATTCCCTTTTTGTTATGTTTCCATGGAAATCAGTGGTTCAATTTATTTGAATATTTAAAAATAAATTAGAATCAGTCATCTGATGCTTAAAACTTTTATTGGATATCAATTCTATGCTAATTATAGAAAAAAACCAGTACTTTTCCCCTTGTTTTAATGTTTTTGAGAAGAAAAATCTAATTAGCTAGTTGCTAGACTTGATTGAAAGGTAGGACATTAAAAATCCTTTTGGGTGGTCTTCATTGGAACTTTGGTCGTAAATTCACTTGACCAACAAATATTAAGAAATAGAAATTCTTTTCAAAATATCCATTTGTAGTTATGAATACACTATTGCTATTATGATTGCTTACAAAATGTTTGACTAAAATATCTGTAATAGAGCTCCATATGTACTATGTTCATTTGTACAGGGAGGAATTTTCTTCTGCTAAGGTTTCAGGTATATGCTTTTGTGTATTTGCTAAATTATACCAGTTGGGATTTTATTCAGCTATGGTGAGAGAAACAAAAAATACTTGTGATTAAGAGGAAATAAAAGGCCACAGGTAGATTCCATTCCAGATGTCGAGTAGTTTTCTGTGATAGTGGTTTATCAGACTTGTTTTTTTGTATGCTCTGGTATGCATATATTTAATTTCTAGAGCCCATTCATGATCCAGGGTGGTGTCTCCAGCTCTGACATTATATATGAATTTCATGAGCAAGAAACATAACACTTATGTTTACCTCCACTGGCCTGAGTATAGTCACTTTTCTATATCCTATCTAATAAAAGAGTAATATGTAAATTGACCATCACTCCAACACACACGATGGCTTCCCCCATGTGGTCAAAGATGGCTGCCCCCATGTGGATACAAGATGACCACCACAAGATGGCCATTAGGGGAGGGCAGCTGGGATGGGCCAGGCCTGCAAGGGAGGGCAATTAGGGCAATCAAGCCTGAAGGGAAGGGCAGTTGCAGGGGGCAGGGGGGACCCAGGCCTGCAGGGGAGGGCACCACCTGCAGGGGAGGCAGTTAGGGGTGACCAGGCCTGCAGGAGAGAGAAATTGGGGAATGGGGACCAGGCCTGCAGGGGAGGTCAATTAGAGGGGACCAGGCCTGCAGGAGAGGCATTTAAGGGTGACCATCCCTGCAGGGGAGGGAATTTGGAATGACCAGGCCTGCTGGGGAGGGCAATTAGGGGCAATCAGGCAGGCAGGGGAGCAATTTTTAGGTATCAATCAGGCTGGCAGGGGATTGGTTAGGGGGTGATCAGGCTGGCATTCAGAAATGGTTAGGGGCAATCAGGAAGGCAGGCAGGTGAGCAGTTGGGAGCAAGCAGTCCTGGATTGTGAGAGGAATGTTAAACTTCCCCTACCTGGATCGGGCATAAACGGGCAGTCAGACATCCCTTGAAGGGTCCCAGATTGGATAGGGTGCAGGCTGGGCTGAAGGACACACACCCTCTTTGCACAAATTTCATGCACCATGCCTCTAGTCTAGTTATAAAGCACAGAAATAAATGTAATCTTTAGGCTGAATGAAATGTATTCTACCAAAAATATTGAGTCATATTTCTATGGAATCTGAGAAATTGATATTGGGGAGCAAAATTATTTGGCAAAGACCTTTTTTAGATGCATATGAAATTTTTTACTACCTTATTTCTATTTCTATACATAGAACATTTCTCCAATATATAAAGTATATATAAAGTATAACATAGGAAATAATCAATATTATTGTAATAACCATGTATGGTGCCAGGTGAGTACTGAAATAATAGGAGGAACACTTTATAAAATATATTATTATCTAATTAGTATGATGTATATTTGAAATTAATACAAAATAACATTGATTGTAAACTGTAATTTAAAAAATCTATAAGAAAGTTCATCCTGGTTTTTCCCTATGCTCCTACAACTTATTTCTTTTTTCTTTTTCTTTTTTACAACTGCATAGGATTTCACTGTGTAAAAGTACCATAGTTTTTGTTTTTTATTTTATTTTATTTAAAGTATTACATATCTTTCCTTTTTCCCCAGTTGATCCCCCTGGCCACTCCCACTCCTGAGGGCAAACCACCACCACCCCAGTATCTGTGTCCATTGGTTATGCTAATATACATGCATACAAGTCCTTGGTTGATATCTAAACTCAACCCACCCCATCCCTGCCTTCTCTCTGAGGTTGGATGGTCTATTCAGTCCTACCTTGTCTCTGGATCTATTTTTGTTAATCAGTTTATGTTTTTCATTATATCACACATATGAGTGAGATCATGTGATATTTATCTTTCTCCAATTGCTTATTTCATTTCAGATAATGCTTTCCAGTTTGATCCATGTTGTTACAAATATAAAGTTGTTTATTTTTTATAGCAGTATAGTATTTCATTGTGTAGATGTACAACTGTTTTGTAATCCACTCATCTACTGATGGGCCTTTAGACTATTTCCAACTCTTAGCTATTATAAATTGTGCTGCTATTAACATAGGGGTACATATGTCCTTTCTGACTGGTATTTCTGGTTTCTATGGATATATTCCCAAAAGTGGGATTACTGAGTGAAATGGGAGTTCCATTTTTAACTTTTTGAGGAAATTCTATATTGTTCTCCACAATGGCTGCACCAGTCTGCATTCCCATCAACTGTGCATGAGGGTTCCTTTTTCTCTGCATCCTCACCAGCACTTGTTGTTTCTTGATTTGTTGATGACAGCCATTCTGACAGGTATGAGATGGTACTGCATAGTTGCTTTGATTTGCATTTCTTGGAGGATTAGTGACTTCAAGCGTGTTTTCAAATGTCTCTCAACCTTCTTTATCTTCTTTTTCAAAAAGGTCTACTCAGGTCCTTTGCCATTTTTTGATTGGATTGTTTATCTTCCTTTTGTTAAGTTGTATGAGTTCCCTGTAAATTTTGGAGGTTAAACCCTTATTTGAAATAGCATTGACAAATATGTACTCCCATGCAGTGGACTTTCTTATTGTTTTGTTGATGATTTCTTTTGCTGTACAGAAGCTATTTATTTTTATGTAGTCCCATTTATTTATTTTCTCCTTAGTTTCCATTGCCTTAGGAGTAGTATCGGTCAAGATATCGCTATCACATATGTTAGAAATTTTTCTGCCTATGGAGTCTGCAAAGATTTTTATGGTTTCCCATCTTACATTTAAGTCCTTTAATCATTTTGGGTTTGTTTTTGTGTATGGGGTAAATTGGTGATCTAGTTTCTTCTTCTTCTTCTTCTTTTTTTTTTTTTTTTCTTGTATCTGACCACTTTTCCCAGCTCCAATTTTCCTAGTCCAAGAGACTGACTTGACTCCATTATATTAGTATGCTCTTGCCTTATTTGTCAAGTATTAATTGAACATAATGGCTAGGTTCTATTTCTGGGTTCTCTTGCTCTGTTCCATTGGTCTATATGTCTGTTCTTGTGCAAATACCAGGCAGTTTTGAGAACCATGACTTTGTAATATAGCTTAATGTATGGTATTCTGAATCCCTTACCTTCGTTCTTCTTTCTCAGTATTTCTGTGACTATTTGGGGTCTTTTTTAATTTCAGATGAATTTTTGAAGAGTTTGTTCGAGGTCTGTGAAATATGCCATTGGTATTTTAATGGGGATTGCATTGAATATGTAGATTGCTTTGGGTAGTAAGGATATTTTAATGATGTTTATTCTACCAATCTATGAATATGGTATGTTTTTCCATTGGTTTATGACTTCCTCTATTTTTTTTTTCTCAATACTCCATAGTTTTCTGAGTAGAGGTCTTTTATCTCCTTAGCTAAGTTTATTCCTAGGTATCTTAATTTATTTGGTGCAGTGGTAAATTAGATTTTTTTTTGTTGTTTTAGTTTCTATTTCAGTGAGTTCATTATCCTAATATATAAAGAGCCAGGATCTGTCATAACCTAAACAACCAAATGGACCATCAAACAGGAGTCTGAATGGGGTGACCAGGCTGGTGCTGGGGGTCAATGAGAGACTAACAAATGACTGAGCCCTGGGCCTTGGCCGGGGTATGGCAGAATACTGGGTTTCCCACAATCAGAATGTGGCTAGCTTTCAAACCCAGGGCCCAGAGTTTCCTGTCACCACGTAGGTGGGCACTTGGTGGGAGGCAAGCTGCAGTAGGAGGGAGACAGGGTGTCAGTCTGGGTTCCGCCTCCTGCCGGTGTGGTGAGAGTCAGTCTGGGGAAACTTTCTCAGACTTGCTTGGTGCTGGGACTGGATGCATCTGAGCTCACAGCATGCTTCACAGAGGTTCCTGCTGGCCAAGGGTACAGAGCTGGAGAGTGCAGGTGTGTGGGTGGGTGTATGCATGAGCACATGAGCATGGACCCGAGTGACATACACACCACACACACACACACACACACACACACACACACACACACATGCCCACACAGGGCCCATGGCTGCCCCTCCCATGCCTTCCTGAACTTCACCCTCCAGCCCAGATCCCCTGGTCCCACACCCAGTGGCCTGTCCTCACCTAAGGTCACTCAATAACACAGCATGAGGGTTTAGGAGTCACGACTGGGAGCGATGGCATGGTCTCCCCACCACCCGCTGTCCCTGCCCATCCACCCAGAGAAAGGGACAGAGAAGGACACCAAGGGTTCGGGGATGCAGAGAGAGGTGACAAGGCCAAGCTGCCCCACCCTGCCCTGCAGCCCACCCACAGCTGGCCCGACCTCATGTGCCCCACCCCAGCACCAGAGCACTGAGACCATCTGGTGCACTCCCCACCCCCACCCCTGCCTGGGATGGTCCCCACTGCACACCCACATCCTTGGGAAACTTTGCTTTTCCAGCTCTGTCCCTGCAGGAGAGCCATAGGGGCACCAAAACCCTTTCCATCCTTCAAAAGTGCTCTGGAAAGCTCACAAGCAGCTCTGCTGTAAAGGGGTTGCTCAAGTTCAGCAAGAGTTTGCAATTTGCCGAAGGCACATTGAACAGTTTTCTCTTAACCCATTTATGGGAGTGTAATCGGATTTAAAACCTATGGACTAAACAAAGAGAAGCACTTTCTAGAAAATCAGTTTGGAAATGTGGGTCAAAATTCAAGTGAATTACAATAGCTTTGGACCAGGAGTTCCATGGCTGTGAATGTGTCCTAAGTAAACAGTCATATAAACAATTATGTTCACTGTAGTTGTTGATGACAGGGAAAACCGGAAACAACCTGCCCCACAATAAATGATTAGTGAAGTAAATCATTGTAACGTCAAACAGTCAGGGACAACTCTGTAGCCATTAACAACTATGTCTGTACATCCAGTTCCTTGACATGAAAAGGCCATAGGCAAATATTGAGTGGAGGGCAGGGGAAGCTCAGAAGAGGGCATGTGTATTTATATGTATGTATATTTTATATGTCAGGAAAATAATCGTTTTAAAAATAGTGATTCTTCTTGAGCACTGAAATCGGGAGTGTTAGCAAATTGTGTTTCAGGGGTGACTGGTGTCCCACACACACAGACAGCCTTGCCTGTGGGACGGCCTGAACCTTTGCTCACCTGCCCCTCTCTGCTGTGGCAACGGCCCAATCAGACGTTCCCTTTTACAGGGCTGGTTTCCTTTTCTCCTTTGCCCACCCCACGCCTTTCCAGCATAAGAATATTAACCAAGCAATCCTAACAACAAGTTTGTTGCCACTGCAACTTATGCCCTTTTATGGAAATGTTGTTGCTTTCAAGCCTGACAGTTTGTGTTTCAAAACTTTTATTTTCTGCAACTTGACCATTTTTTATTCTCTTAAAATATTCTGGAGTATTTTTAATACATATATAAAAGAGAATAATATGACAAATACTTATCCTACCTAATAAAAGAGTAATATGCTAATTAGACTGGACAGTTTCCAGATATCCTTCCAGAAAAAGTCACAGTGGTGGGGGCTAAGGCAGAGGCAGTTAGGAGTGACCAGGCCAGCAGGGGAGAGCAGTTAGGGACAACCAGGCTGGCAAGGGAGGGCAGTTAATGGCAAATAGCCTGACAGGCAGGGCAGTCGGTGTGACAAGGCAGGCAGATAGGTGAGTGGTTAGGAGCCAGCAGTCCTG